TGCTGTTTGGGGTGGATCCCCTGAGGGAGGTGAGTCTCCGCAGTATGCTTAAATCCCCCTACCCCCCATTTTTAGTAAGAAAGTGTATGGGAGGAGGAGAAGGAGGGGAAAAGCACTGAGCTCAGGTGTGCGCCACTGCCCCTGGGCATGTAGATTGCACTGGGCACCTAACTGGGACCTCCCAACCCCACACAGCAGCACCTATCATTTGTGCCACCACAGCTGAGCCCTCTAAGTGTCTCCTTAACTGGAAGAGGACCTTGAACATTCTTCCAGCCAAAGCTGCCCCCTTGTTAGAGAGGCAAGATTGCTCTCCTCTTCATTGGCATGACACAGATTTCATATCTAAATCGACATCAAGCTCTCCACCACTCCTTTCCCTCTCTCCATGAGGCCTCTCTTCCTACATCCCAGCCAGTCTTCCAGTGCCTTAGCCCTGTCTGTAGAAGGGCCAGACCTGGAAAGTTCCTTACATGGCTTGGCCCTAGTGGGTAACCTCAACCATCAGTCTCCCTCAGTCCTGGGAAAGAGAAAACTGTTGGAATTCAAAGCTGTTTTTTTCTAGACCTGTGGTGAGCGAGTTTGTGAACATGGTATAGGCTACTCAGCCTTCAGTATCTATCTGTGGGCCTGTTTCTTTTTTGGTCAATTCATTAATTTTTTTCTTCCAACCCATGTTTACTGGGTGACCACAGTGGGGCAGCATGGCGCCCCTGCAGGTGAAAGTGTGAGAATAAACATGGACTGCTGGGAAGAACTCCACTCTGAAACCCCTGATTTGAAAGACAGCAGACAGACCATACGGCAACCTTTCTAATACAAGCATATTTGCTATGAGGGAACCACCCAGAACATTCTAGAACATTCCACAATGTCAGGATGTGACCTCTCTCCTTCCTGAATACAGCAGACTCGCCCTGAATTCTGCACCTAGAGGCTAGTTACTTTCATATGGGAAAAGTCAGAACCCCAAATTTGAGTCTGGAGCTTTTATTTATTGCCTTTTATTGAAAATACCTATTTTTTTAAACAATTTTTAAAACTTTTTTTTTTCTATATTTGACCAGAGAGGGACAGAGTGAGAAAGAGAGAAAGAAAGCCGCTAGGTCCAGAATTTGAACTGTGGTTGGCCATGTGAGAGTCCAGCGCCCTTAACCATCACATCACCTGCTGGCCCTGAAAATACCTTTTTTAATGTTTATTTTTAAAAAATATTCTTTAATATGTATTATTATTTTTTAATTTGCTATAGGGCATGTGTGCTTACCAGAGACAGAGGGAAAGTGAGAAAGCAAGCCACCAGGTCCAGGACTCAAACATGGTCAGCCATGTGGGAATTCAGCACCTTAACTACCACATTACCTGCTCTGGCCCCTTAATGTTTATTTTTAATTTTATTTCTTTCATAGTGAGAAAAAGAGAAGAGAGAGAAAGATGGGCATCCCCAGCAGGGTCTTCTCACCAGCCTTAGCCAGGCCAGGTCACAGACACTTGTGAGACTTCTGGATGCTAACCCGGGAACTTCCTGTGTGGATCCTCCTCACAGAGCTTTGCTTTACTCTTCCCACCACTGCCCACGTGAAAAATACCTATTTTTACAACAGGCATACATTACTTCACTATTCAATGGAAAAACACAATAAAAACATTAGCAGTTCAGAAAAAAAAAATGCCAGAGCAGGTTTTTTCCTCTGGTAATGAGGCAAGTCAGCTCATGAACCTAAGCCTGTCAGTTTGCTGAAGACCTTCAATTCATGTGGCTCTACACGTGGCTGCCTCAGTCTACCTGCTGGCCTGCCCCCTCCTCAGTGCCTGTAACCCTCAGCTTCACTTCCTATTAATACGAACCACGTTGGACCCTCACTCTGGCATCTCCAGGCAGAAGAGGAAGCCATGGCCGCCTAGTGGCTGGCCGGGGGGGCCGCCTAGTGGCTGCCAGGGAGGCTGGCAGGAAGGGGCTTCTCCACCAGGCGTCTCCTGGGAGACAGCAAACTCCCCAGAGAAGGGACATTTGGAAATAAAATTTCTGCCTCTGTGTGTGTGTGTGTGTGTGTGTGTGTGTGTGTGTGTGGTGCGCGCATGTGCACTGGGCCAGCCAGGAGATGAAGTTAAGGAACCTCCCTAGTCCCTCTGCTGTTCTGCTTCCTTAGGGAAAGTGTCTCTAAGCAGCTCTCCTCCCT